GAGCGACCCACCACACGCCTAGCCCTCCTGGGGCCACCCTCCAGGAAACCATTCAGGCGCGACTTGACGCCCACAGCCAGCGCAACAGCCGCTAGCTCATCTTCTTTTCGTGCGCTGTGAGAGCGTCTGGCAAACCGTTCCACGGCCTGCGCCTTGGGCCTTGGGCCGCGGCGGGGAATGCCTCAACGCGGCGCCTTTCCTTCTTTGCTAGGCTATGAGGCGCGCGTGCCAAGGCGTGCGAAAAGCCACATGATCCTGATTGTCTCGGGGGTGCAGAAGGGTCTCGCGCCCCGTCCTTTTCGCCACATCCCGATTCTGTGTTCCAGTCGGGGGCTTTTCGACCGCGCCAGGGGGGGAGGTTCCGTTTTACCACCCATCCCACGCACGTGCGACGCTTCCCGCCAGTTTGGCACTGGCCCAACAGGCGCCAGCACCCTCTGGGCCAGGACGAATCCGTCCGAAGTGGTGCGCTCTCTCCATCGCCCTCTCTCTCCCCCTCCCTCCCTCCCGCCGCTCGCTCCCCCCCCTCGCCTCCATTCCTTCAATCACTCTCTCACTGCCCCGCCACCAGCCGTCCACCGCTTTCTCGTCACATGTCCCCTTGCTGCCTCCCCCCTTCTCCCTCCCTCCCCTGACATGTCTCCCCCCCCACACCCCATCCTTCTCCTAGCCCCCCCCTTTTCTTCACCTCTTCTCCTCCCCCTTCCCAGCCCCTCTCTCCCCTCCCTTCCCCACCCTCCAGGTATATATGCGGCTCTGTTCTTGCCCGTGATGGTGCTGTGGGCGTCGTATTTCTACTTTGGCCAGCCGGACAGGGCCAGGACTCGAGAGCGCCGTGCCCGCTCGCGTCCTCGGGTTGCAGGGGCAGTTTTCCTGAGACGGGCCACCTCCCCGCAGAGTGCCAGCCGCTGCGGGGGGGACGCAGAAGTGCCGACACCGCCGCCAGGAAGCCGGGCACGCACGACGTGGCTGGCCCGGCCGAGTGCCGGACGAGATGCGCACGTGGCCACGTGCCGTTCCAGCGCTCGGCCCTCGTTCGGCCACGCACGGTCGTCCTGCACACGTGTGTACAGTCAAAAAACCCTCATAAGGACGCGCGACCTTGCTCAGGGTGCCCCTGCGTCCTTGCTCTTCCTTGCTCTCGCGTCCTTGAGGTTTTTGTCGTCCGCCGCCCCAGAAGTCCCAACTTCGGCCTCCAAGGGTCTTGCGTCCCTACCGCGCGGCCTGATTAGGGTTTTTGACTCTATATGCAGCACGTAAACTCGAGATGCTCCAGCCACGTGCGCCCGGCCACGTCTGCTTCCGGCTTCCTGGTACTATCCCCCGGATGTCTGGAGGGGCGCGCGCTGCCCAGAATTTCTCAGGAGGGAGAAAAACACACAGACACAATTAATCGTCGATTCCCCAGAAAATATGTGGAAAACATGGGGAGTGGGGGGGAAGACAGAGACCCCCAAAATATGGGAAAACATGGGGAATCTGTTTATTTGTGTGTATTTATTTGTGTGTCCCAGGGCTCCTTCAGAGAGACGGGTAGCGGTATCGGTATCAGTTCTTCTTGGGACGCTCCAGAGACGAAGGAGAATCCATGTTTGGGAAATTGGAATTCCTGTCGCCCGCCAGTGCTGGGGACGGAGACCCCTGGCATCCGCCGATGTGAGTTCTTCCCACTGCGCACCCTTCTGCTGCTGGGCCAGCCTTCCACCCCAGATCCGTTCTTGATGCCCCCGGTGCCCCACAGGGGGTCTCGGAGGGCAACATCGAGGATTCGCGCCCAGATTGATCAGAACATATGTCGCCGCGCCGTTTGTTCCGACGCGCGGCCTCATCGTCTTGGGGAGGAGTTCCTCGGCCGCCAGGGCCAACGCCGCCTCGGACGCGGTGGGCTCGCCGTGGGCTTTGCCGCGGTGCCGGCTTCGGCCGCCTTGGGGCGCGGGGCTTGCTGCGGGTTTGTCGTGGTGTCGGCGTCGTCCACTTGGGCGCGTCGAGAAAAAACGGCGCGGCGACCTCATCGTCATCATCATCAGCAGCAGCAGCATCATCACTGTCCTCATCATCATCCTCATCATCATCATTAGCACCACCACCATCATCATCAGGGATCCTCATCCCCCCTCGATCATCCGCGATGGCCGCCGCGGGAGAATCTATTTGTTGCCCAGCATTGTTGGGGTCCTAATCCGCCAATCTGCCCGCGGATAAAAAAGATGTTACCATGATATGTTGGGGAGGTATGAAAAACTTCTCGCGGATTTAACAGATCGTTCGAGATCTATGGTGCTGTCAGGACGCTGCTGCTGCCGCTGACGCTCTGCGCGCTGATCATCGGCTGCGACGTGGTCAACCAGTCCCTCTCGGCACTGATGGCCTCGCCCATGGCGATCACGGCGGTCCAGGCTGGCGCTCCGTCCTCGTCGCCAAAGAGTATGTCGTCGCGCCCTTTGTTCCGACGCGCGTCCGTGCATCCTGGAGAGGGCGACGCGGCCACCTGAGCAGACTCCGCCTCGGATGCAGAGCTTGCCGTGAGTTTGCCGCGGTGCCGGTTTCGTCAACCTGGGGAGCAGGGCGCAGGGTTTGCCGTGGTGTCGGCGTCGTCCTCTTTAGGCGCGTCGAGAGCAATCGGCGCGACAATAGATCCTCCTCTTCAGCAATGCCCCTCCTCCTCCTCCTCCTCCTCCTCCTCCTCCTCCTCCTCCTACTCCTCCTTTGCCTTTTCACTCTTCTCAAAAATCCTTCCCCTCTTCAAACAACATCATCAGAAGACGTCATCTTCCTCGACAGCAGAAGTCCGTCCGTCCTCCTCCTCCTCGACAGATCCGTTCCACCCCCAGGAAATTTCATCCCCTCCTCCTCGAGTATCAATCCTCTTCCTCCTCCTCCTCCTCCTCGTCCTCCTCCTCTTCCTCTTTCTGTTCCATTCTTTTCCCTTCTACAAGTGATTCCTCCCTGTCGCACTGCGAGGCCGGTCGAAAGGGCGGGCCAGGCGTTTCGCCTGAGTTTTTCTCACCATGTATGGCTCTGACCCGTGAACATTGGCATCAGCTCCACAGATGGAGGGCGGGTCGTTTTCAACATGTGGCTCTCGCTTTAGCGCCGCGAAGATTCGTTTTACCTATTTGCCAGATTTTCACAGATTGAGGCCTGGTCGTTTTTCAAAATCTGGCTCTCGCCTTTGTGCCGCGCACATTCGTTCAAAACAGGTTGCAAGAATTTGACGGATTGAGGGCGGTCCCTTTTCAAAGTGAGGCTGTCGCCTTAGCGCCGCGCGCATTCGCTTAAAACAATTGCAAGAGTTTCGCGCGCTCCCAGGGTCAACGTACTAGAAACAGCGTTCTGGAAAGATTCAGGATTATGAGGGCGCAACAGTTACGTTGATTCGTGCTGTTGGATTCCCAGGAATAGCGTTCGTGCGTCATTCAGGGTCGTCAAGACGCAACCGTCAGGTTGATCCGTGGCGTTGGAGTTTTGAGAATAGTGTTTTGGCATGCTTCAGGGTCTTCAAACGGTTGTCTTCCAACGAGGCAGCTCCCTCAGTGGAAATGAAGCCTTGCAGGGGATCCTGTGAAGAGGGAGCTTAGAGGGAGGGTTTCTTCCGATACCGTTGAGGACTCTTGGGCTTACACTGGTCCCCCTCCTCCTCCTCCTCCTCCTCCTCCTCCTCCTCCTCCTCCTCTTCCCTCTTCCCCTTAAGGAAGAGCACCCCCCCCTCTCCCCCGAGCAGCAGCGACGCACAGCCGGCCCAGGCCGGCGCGCTCGCGGCCAGCACCGGGGTCTGGGTCCTGGGCCGCGAGGCCGCGCAGCCCACGCTCGCCGAGGGCCGCGGGCTCCGGCGGGAGCTGCTGAAGTGGGGCGCGGTGGCGGTGATCAGCCCTGGGATCCTGTCGGGTATGGCCAGCGCCCCGGTTAAGGGGAGCTGGTTATATAGTGATTGGGCCCCGAAGCCCAAAGTATGGGCTGGAATCACTCAACCAGGTCTGCCGTAGCTGGTGCTTTTCGGGTGACGGCAATTCCGGGCAGTGGAAATGGGACGGGGGGGGCGCCCCCGGTACAAATCACTGAACCAGGTCCCACTAAACCCAGTCTTGCCATCGCCAGATCCTGGCGGCACCAACAGCGGCCATGGAGGGGGAGGAGGAGGAGGAGGAGGAGGAGGAGGAGGAGGACGAGGAGGAAAGAGGAGGAGGAGAAGGAGGAGGAGGAGGGGCAGGAGGAGGAGGAGGACGGGGCGCGGTGGCGGTGATCAGCCCTGAGATCCTGGCGGCACACCACAAGCGGCCAGAAAGGAGGAGGATGAAGACTGGGCGCGGTGGCGGTGATCAGCCCTGAGCCACCGGCTAACATTGGTCATGGTAATGAATGAACGCGCATTTTTACAACAAGCCATTGAGGAAGCGTTGACTTCCTGAAGCGAGAACCGGATTTACTTCATTGCGCAGCCTAATCAAAACAAGGCAAAGCATCATGTTGTAAGATCAAAAGCCGACTTACTAAATTCAAAAGCGGATGTTCTAAATCCGGGGCCGTTGTTTTAAATCCCGGACCCCATCATTACCGTGACTTGTCAGGAGGTGAAGAAACACACAGACACAATGAATCGTCGATTTCCCAGAAAATATGGGAAAATATGGGAAGTGGTGGGGAAGACAGAAACCCAGAAACTATGGAAAAATATGGGGATTCCTGTTACCTGTGTGTATTTATGTGTGTGTTTGTGGGCCCCTTCAGCTTGAGTGGCTCGATCACTGAGATCCTGGCGTTGCAGTTCTTTCGAGCCAGGCGCTGTCGCCTCCTTTGGGCCCAGGGGCCCTCGCAGACCGATCCGGCTCGAAACATGACGCAGACGGAGGGGATCCAAGGCTCCAGCCGTAGACGGGCTAACGGCGATGTAGGTAACGGTGATGTAGGTTTCGGCATTGCGGGGGCGCGTGGCTCACGCTTTCCTGCAATTCGCTGCGTCGTGCTCGCTCGACCCGTTCGCGGATTGGAGGTGTAGAAAAGTATGGTTCGTGATTTCCTACCATCTGGTTCCCAACATCACCGTTAAGCAACATCGCTGTTAGCCCGGCCTTGGTCCAGGCGCGATGTCCCACGATGTTTTTGTTTAGGCTACGGCGGATTTTCATGGAGGGGAGGTCTCCTAAGACATGGTCAGGATCGGCTTCGAGGAGTCGCCCAACGCGAGGTTTTCGCCTGGTGGCACAGATCGATCCGGGTCGACACCGCAGACAGATGGGGTCTAGGGCACTGGTCGTGATGTTTGGCGAAGTTGAATGTTTTTCGCAATGTCGGGTCTCAGGGGAGGGAGAGTCGAGACAACGGTAGTTAGCCTTCTGGGGACCCGTCGTTGTCACGGCTAAACGCAGCTCGGAAGATTGGTGCGTTCGTACCCTGGGAGTGGTCCGGGGATCGATTCTGAGCTGGTCTCAAGTCGCCTTGCTACTAGGTGATGTTCACTCTATATCAACTCGTGAACCACTTGGTGTCCTACTGGTGCTCTCTGTGCGAGCGAACGATCTTCGCCAACCTGTGCCCCGCCGCGACCATGCTGGTAGAGATGACCGTCATGCCGGCGGCGATCAAGGTACAGGGCAGCCCCCGAAAACATGCTTCCGTGGCTACCATGGTGCTCGGAGCAGCCTTGTTCTGCATGCAGTATAAGCACTTCTCCTGTGCAGGGGTGGCGGTGGCATTGTTGATGGTCGTGGTGACGATTCCTTACAGGCTGCTCCAGCGCTGGTTACTTTTCGAGTGCAGCGGGCTGACAGTTGGACTCATGGCTTGCTACGACGGCCTCTTCCTTTTTGGGCCCTCGAGTATCATCTTCGCAGCCAACAGCAGGCCAGACATGTGGTCGCAGTGGAACGAGTGGCTGTCCTCGCCGCAAATATGTCTTATGCTATTCCTCTCCCTCATCGCCTTCTCTGCGAATCATTGCGTCAGCCTTGTGATGCTCCGCTGCGCATCGGCAACCAACTACCTGGTCATGCATAATGTCGCCAACATCCTGGTGGTCTGCCTAGGCATCGTAATATTCCATGACAAGGTGATGACCTCTCCTGTCATGATGATTGGCATCTTGATGAGTTTGGGAGGTGGCCTCTGGTATGCCTCTGAGTCGCTCTCGACTGACGCTCGCTTGTCGAAGGCCGAAGCGAAATCGCAGATGGCGCCCGACAAGGCCAAGCCGTAGGCCAGTAATCGCTCTTCTCGGGGGGTGTGGGACGAGGGGGAGGGGTGGGGTACGAGGGAGGGAGAACGGCGCTCCCTCGGTGCCTTCGGCATGCGCCAACCCGCTGGATGGCACTTCGGCGGCGAGCGAGGGTGTGATCCCTGGGAGGCACCTCGGGGGAAGTTCGAGATTCGAAGTTCGAGGCTGTCGGGCGTTTTAGTAATTTCTTGGCGGTTTTCCAGCCTCGGGATGCGTTCCAGCGGCTGCGCCTCGCCAAGAGCATTGCGGGGGGTCGGGGATTATGCAAAGATCGTCCCGAAGGGCCGCCGGAGACCCGAGTTATGCCCCGAGAACTCCTCTCGGCAGCGCGCCCACGGGGGGAAGTGAGACGCAGAATGCCTTCTCAGAAAGCGGCGGGATTTCTCAAAAGTCCTCGCCCCTTCTGAGAAGTTTTCTGTGTCTCCGGGGAAGGCTTAGGACACTTTCCAGAAGGCAGGGGGACTTCCGAGCCTTCTGAGAAGGTCCGCCCTTTCTCATTTCCCCCTTGGCGCGCCGCCGATGCAGATCGTCAGCAACAGGTAGATAGCGCCGCCCCTGTCAGAAGTCTGATCTTTCACTTTGTTGCGGCACCCGGCTGTGAGACCACCAGTGTCGTGGAGGCCGAAGGTTGCCGCTTCCGCGAGCCAGTGAGCACATTGCCGCCTCTCCGCGGCACGACTACAAAAGGAAAAGAAAGGCGCGCAATCGGCCAAGGTCTCCGGGATGGGAGGGAGTCGGTTCTGCGGGCGGGAGGAGTGCTTGTAGGATCTCTGGTATGTTTTGAAGGTACGGTCGGGAACTGTTGCTTGGCGTGTCGCTGCGCCAGTTTTAGGCCCACCGCGCTTCGACTCTACACGCTATCCACGTCCTGGCCCCCAGGCCCCAACGCCCCGAGTTTTTTGGCCGACCTCCCGGCCCGCGGAGCGGATCGACACGCTGTCTGCTCGCAGGGCAAAGGGTGTCGCTAGTGCCGCTGCCGCGACACGCTAAGCAAAACTTCCTGGCCGTAGGTCACGGGGCCTCCGAAGCTTGTCATTGTCTCTGGCCAGGGCACAGATGGCTGCCTGGTGGTATTCAAGGGGCGGGGCTGTCGTGGGAGTGCGCGGGCATATCGGCCCCCCCCTGCTTTTCTTGCTGCAGACGACATGCCATCTGCCGTCGCCTCCATCCTCCTCCATCCTCTCTCCCCCTCTCTCTGATTGTTTCCTATAGATATATGTCTCTCTCTCTCTCTCTATCCGTTGTCTCTGTCCGCCTCTCTCTCTCTCTCTTTTCTACCCCCTTTCATCTCTCCTCCTTATGCTCGCTCTCTCTATAGCTCTCTCTCTCTCTCTCTTTCTCTTCCCCTCTCTTCTACACCCTCTCTCTCTATTCCTCCGCCTCTTCCGTTCTCATCTGCCAGTTCTTCTTGTTCCTTCCGTTGGGGTCTGGAAAACAAAGAGGACAGAAGGGACAGAAGACGCAAGCACAACAAACGCAAAGAGACTCAAGTGCTCGAGGCGGAAACTGTAGGACACCATTAACACAACCAACAAACAGTTTTAAACAGATCCCCGGATGATCCGTCCGAAGGGAAACGTCCGAAGGCGAACCCCACAAGGAGTGAGGAGGAGGAGGAGGAGGAGGAGAAGAGGAGGAGGAGGAGGAGGGGTAGCAGGATGGCGTTGCAGAACCAAACAAGCACAAGGACAATCCAAAACAATCAAACATGCTGAAGTGCTGGCGGCGCAAAGTGTGGGAAAACCACGGGAAAACAATTCTGGAACGCATTAAGACAAAACAGCAAAAGTCTCAGGGGAAGGCTTCCGAGGAGAAACGCCCGAAGAGAACCCCCGCATTCTCAGTGGAAGCTTGTGTGTTTCTTCAGATAATGCGAGCTTGCGGATGAATACATGTAAACGAACCGTCCCTATGGATGACTTAAAAAATCACAACTCCACGGAGCCCATACGGACGCCATCCGTATCAAGGCATCCTGACTAGAAGGGAACATTACTACATACTCCTTCCGGAATGAAGCCTTACTGCGGAGCCCTCACGACAAAACAGTCATACGAAGAACAAATGCTAAAAGGCACCCTCACCGATGACCCCTTCTTAAAGGCATCCTTCCACAAGGACTCTTTAATGGATAGGGCCTTACCAAAGACTCCTTACTCAAGGGACCTTACGAAGGGGGACTCATTCAAGAGATTATCCCATCGCTTCGCTCATTCCGCCAGCCCATGTTGCATGATCGCTACTGCTTCGCCGCGGGCCCGGGGCCATTGTGGCGCCGCCGAGGAGGAGGAAGATGAGGGTGGGGAAGGGGAGGGGAGGAGGAGGAGAGGATGAGAAGGAGAGGAGGAGGATGAAGATAGGTAGGAGGAGGAAGAGGAAGGGGAAGGGGCGGAGGAGGAAGCCTCTCGTTGGCATCTTGTGTTGCTCGTGGGGCCAAACAGGGTCGTCGTCAAGATGCTTCTTTGGGAGGCCCCTTGGTCTTTTGAGAAGCCGTTCGGGGGCGCCTGGGAGGCATTTTTGAACTTCTGGGGCCGCCTTTGGGCCTCCTGGGGGCCTCCTGGGGCCTCTTGGGGGCCTCTTGGCAGCATCTTGGGGCCTCTTGGGGGCCTCTTGGGGGCCTCTCGGGGCCTCCTGGGGCCCTCTTGGGGCGGAAGGCTCGAGTTTTCGGTTCGTGGTCCCCCTATTGGGCCCCTCTTGGGGCCGTCTTGGGCCGTCTTGGGCGCCTCTTGGGCCGTCTCGGGGCCCGTCTTGGGGCGCTCTTGGGGGCCTCTTGGGCCGTCTTGGAGCATCGGATGGCCGAAAAGGAGACAAGGCCAACATCCTTCCAAAACCATTGCACAATTTATGATTGTGGCCTCTCTGGCCCTCTTGTGAGGCCTCTTGGAGGCCTCTTGGAGGCCTCTTGGGCCGTCTTGGGGTCATCATCGGCGTCTTGGAGCGCTCTTTGGGCGCCTCGGGGGCCTCTTGGGCAGTCTTGGGGACCTCTTGGGTCAGGAGGGGGGGTAGTCGATTGCGCCCCTCCCCTTCGGAGGATCTCTGATCCGAGTGTCCCGGGGGTGTCCCGGGGGGGTCTCGGGGTACTTTTCGCCCGGGGACCCCCAGGGGCGGCCCCGCGCGCGCGAAAATTAGAATATTGTTAACCAGTTACCGGAGATCTTAGCACGCCCTTAGCCCGTTGGGCCGGCGAATTTCGCGGAAGGTCGCACTAAGGGTGTCCTTAGCACAGATTGAATGTCAAAGGACTCCGCTAGCATAATCCCTTATTAAAAGTGGGTCCTTGTCATGGACCCCTTTATTCAGAAAAAGGCACCCCTTGTTATGGACCCCATGATTAAGAAAGCAACATGTCGTGCGGAATTCTTATTACAGGGGTCCTTACTGAGGTTATCCTTCGTACAGGCATTTGCACGAAGGAGTCTTCATTAAAAGGCGCCCTTTTTTCAGGATTCACGCCTGCAGGCACCTTTGCTGGGGATTCATTTCCAAATGCATCCTTACAAGCAGCTCTTGACGGAAATTCTATTTCACAAAGACTCATTCGTCGAGGCATCCTTACTGAGGAGTTCTTGCGACAAAAAAGTCCTTTGTAGAGATGCTTCACTCAAGTGGTTCCGACCTTACATTGTCTAAGACCCCTCTTGGGGGCTCCTGTGGGCCGTCTTGAGGCCCTCTGAGGTCGTCTTGGGGCCAGCTGGGGCCTTTTTCCGGTTCGTATGGGCGGGGGAGGGGCCAGGGACTGCCGGCAGAGTGGCGGCCCACTGGAGGGACTAAAAGGATGTTTTCACCAAGCGCTCGCGATTCCTGCAATGCACTTTTCATGGCGCCAACATCGCAGAGCGGGTTTCGTTCAGAAAACGATAGGATGGGCCCCGAGTGTTCTGGAGAATACTGTTCCGGATTTCGACGCGAATTTAGTGAAATTTTTTGGGGTCAGGAATGAAGGCAAACAACATCCACTCGAAGTTCACGTCTTTTTTCGCTCGCCGTTTTGGGGGTCCACGCACAGATTCGCTGCAGCACGTCTGCAAGGTCGGTGCAGTGGCACTCTAGGCTTCCTGGATGGGGTCCGAGTAGATGGGGTCGGAATGGAGTCGGAGGAACGCGCCGCATCGCCGATGCATCGGCGATGCGGCTCAATGCGGAGCCCGTGTTTCCCCACGCCGACGTCGCCGATGTATCGCCGACGTCGCCGATGTATCGCCGATGCGTCGCCGATGTATCGCCCATGCGTCGCCGATGCATCGGCGATGCATTGGAGAAGCTGCGTGATCCTCTTCGACACCATCTACTCGGACCCGCGTCTCGGTCGAGGAGGATGGGCAGAAGGCGGAGAAGGAGGAGCAGCAGGAGGGGGAGATGGAGGAGGAAGAGGAGGAAGAGGAGAAGGAGGAGGAGGAGGAGGAGGAGGGGGAGGAGGAGGAGGAGGGGGAGGAGGAGGAGGAGGAGGAGGAGGAGGAGGAGGAGGAGGAGGAGAGGAGGAGGAGGCAGGGCAGCGGAGCAGGAAGGAGGAGGAGGAGGAGGAGGAGGAGGAGGAGGAGGAGGAGGAGGAGGAGAGGAGGAGGAGAGGAGGAGGAGGAGGAGGAGGAGGAGAGGAGGAGGAGGAGGAGGAGGAGGAGGAGGAGGAGGAGGGAGGAGGGGAGGAGAGGAGGAGGAGGAGGAGGAGGAGGAGGAGGAGGAGGAGGAGGAGGAGGAGGAGGAGGAGGAGGAGGAGGAGGAGAGGAGGAGGAGGAGGAGGAGGAGGAGGAGGAGGGAGGAGGAGGAAGAGGAGGAGGAGGAGGAGGAGAGAGGAGGAGGAGGAGGAGGAGGAGGAGGAGGCAGGAGGAGGAGGAGGATAGGAGGAGGAGGAGGAGGAGGAGGAGGAGGGGGAGAGGAGGGGGGAGGAGGAGGAGGAGGAGGAGGCCCCTAGACACTTTGACACATTGGCCCCGCTCTGCCCAGCCGGGTGCGCGCAGCCTGCGCCCCAGCCCCGGGCGAGACCCCGAAAGGCCCGAGGGCACGCCCCCCCCCCCCCTGCAGCCCTCCCCCCGGAGGGGGAGCTGCCCTCCGCCCTCGGGCGCCTCGGTCCTCTCCTCCTCCTCCTCCTCCTCCTCCTCCTCCTCCTCCTCCTCCTCCGCCTGCACCCTCCTCCTGCTCCTTCCTCCTCATCCTTCTCCTCCTCATTCCTCCTCCTCCTCCTCTGCCTCGTCCTCATCCTCTCTCCTCCTCCTCCGGGTCCTCCTCCTCCTTCTCCTTCCTCCTCCTCCTGGTCCTCCTCTCCTCCTCCTCCTGCCTCCTCCGGGTCCTCCTCCTGCCTCCTCCTGCCTCCTCCTCCCTCCTCCTCCTGCCTCCTCCTGCCTCCTCCTGCCTCCTCCTGCCTCCTCCGGGTCCTCCTCCTGTCTCCTCCGGGTCCTCCTCCTCCTCCTCCTCCTCCTCCTCCTCCTCCTGCATCATCCACCTACACCTCCTGCAAGGTCGGTGCAGTGACGCGTTGACCGACGGGCCTCGCACGGCCCAAACCCCGCAGGCGGGAGAGCGGCCCGAGGAAGGGTTGGCCGCTCCGTTCCCGCGGCCCGCCCGAGAGAGCGGAGCCCTCTCGGCACGCCGCCCGCGCTCGTGTCGGGACCTTCTCGGGCCATCTCAGGGCCTCCTCGGGGGGTCCCGAGAAGGAGGAGGAGGCAGGAGGAGGAGGAGGCAGGGGGAGGCGGAGGAGG